TGTATTCAACCAACCAGTGTATTCAATAAATGCGTTTATGTTCGAAATAATTACTGGCCTTATTAATATATAGTTGGTTACAAAAATTGTATACATCCTTTATATCTCTCCTGCAATGAATGGGATTTAGTTAGCTAAATCATAATTCATCGGAAAACTACTGATAATCATCTAGTACCCATGAAAGTCAACTGTCATTCTGGAACTTTGATTCAATCAGGATTATTCAAACAATTTCTGTTTGTATCAGAATTCTCCATTGAAAATGTATGAAAAATGTAGACGAAAATGAAATCGAAGAGAATGTTTTAGGTAACTGCATATTTCCAAGAACTGTGTGTTAATATGAAGCACTCATCTCTGTGGGCAATTTATTGAGTATGCCAGATGACAATAAACGTAAAACACAACATTCATGTGAGCAAAATGATGCAATCAGAATATGGATAAAAACCTGAGAAATCGAAAACCTTGATACCTCAACGAATCGAAGAGTTCATATCTTTTACGTCAGATGAAATCTTCTTATTCACAAAGGTTCGCTCCGCTCTGTGGCCCTCGTGCTTTAAATACTCGTTACTAAAAGAACGTTTATATCACATATGTATTATACTTATACTATTAAAATCACTTAGGGGTGCGTTCGAAAACGTACTCTGTGGAGTAGAGTTTACCCATTTTCGTTCAAAATTTGTTGGATTGTGTATACTTTACTTTCATTCGTAAATACTGGAGTATTTGACACCGAGTTAACTCATGCAACTCCACAGATTTGACAAATTTATTACTGGGCGAAGAAGGATGAAGAAGTTTGTATTTTTTTGTTTTATGTTAGGAAAGGTCCATTGGAAACGCAGTTCATGAGTGTTTTTATATCTTCAGAACATTCAAACTTCATATTTCGATGTTAAAAAGATCATGAAATCTTCAGGAAGTGAGACACTTAGGGTCAGTTTTGTGTAATGTTCTGTTTGGATAACAAAATATTCAATTGTGAATTCAATCATATACAGGGTGTAAATTTGAAAACTTTCAATGCGAATATCTCGCGAAAGAAAAAAGTTAAAAAAACGCCGTTTGGCAAAAATGCTAAAGAGTTAAGGGGAACTAGAACCACCATATTTCGGTCAAGGGATGAGTCACCCCGTCGGCGCGACACACCCGAACTTTGAAATGTCAAATGGCACTATCTTTTTTGTGATGCCTCAAATGAAAAGACTCAGTCAGTAGTATTCACCTGTACAACATTTTTCTTCCACCCACTACAGGGTGTACGAAAAATATAAAGTCGAATAAAATAAAATGAATTGTGTTAAAAGGATATTTTATTTGATCAGATGTTCAAAATGCATTCCATTCTGTTCTAAGCAATAGTATAATCGATGTTCAAATGCCATTCTAACATTTTGGAACACATCTCTTGGAATATATCGGCATTCTGCATTTTATTTTATTCAACTTTATGTTTTCCGTTCACCCTGTAGTGGGTGGAAAATAAGTCTTGTACAGGTAAATACTACTGACTGAGACCGTTCATTTGAGGTATCACAAAAGAGGTAGTGCCATTTGACATTTCAAAGATGGAGTGTGTCGCGCCGACGGTGTGACTCATCCCTTCACTGAAGTATGGTGGTTCTAGTTTCCCCTAACTCTGTAGCATTTGTGCCAAACGGCGTTTTCCTAACTGTTTTATTCAGCGAGATATTCGCATTGGAAGTTTTCGAATTTAGACCCTCGAATTAATGTTTTTCGTACACCCTGTAGTGGGTGGAGAAAAAGTCTTGTACAGGTGAATACTACTGACTGAGACCGTTCATTTGAGGTATCACAAAAGAGGTAGTGCCATTTGACATTTCGAAGTTGGGGTGTGTTGCGCTGACAGGGTGAGTCATCCCTTCACTGAAATATGGTGGTTCTAGTTCCCCTTAACTCTTTTTTCGCCAAGCGGCGTTTTTCTAACTTCTTTATTTCGCGAGATATTCGCATTGAAAGTTTTCAAATTTACACCCTGTATGTATATCGAGGTTTATTGTATATGTATGCTTTATCAGTATATAGCAGTACACAAGACGTGGTTTCAATATTGAAAACTGACCTGAACTGACTGAACTAAACTTGTCAATTTTTTTACGATGTTCATGTCAATCTCAGATGTCAATAAACTAACTCAAAATTCCGTCCTAATACCACAAAGAATAGTAATTAACTCAGAGTAAACTGATATCCTGCAACTGAGTTTACTCTACTCTGAGAGTTGATAACCGAACGCACCCCAGAGCTAATATGTGAACGTTTTTGTTATTTGAAAAAAATAACGGCGGAATGAGATGTTAATTACTCACGTGGATTGCTTCATGCTACTCGATAACATTCATAATGAAGGCAACTAGTCGGTTTCTGGGTTGAAAGGCCCCATTTTAATTGATAAGCAAGAAACCATCTGCAGGAGAATGCAATTTCATTAGGCATATAAATTTTCCCCAAAGTTCTTGCTCTTTCTCCACATATTTTCGTGAACTTCATTAATTATGTTTGCAATGTTGAAAATTTGTGGAAACTGCAGATATACAAGTATTGACCAGAGACTGCTCTTTGAGCTCTATTGAATCATTCCTTCCATTCCATCAAATTCCCCATCCCATCTGAGTTGGTTCATCAACAGTCATTCAAGAGCAATTTCATAGCGGACAGGGCGATAATGTAATGCCATAATAACAAGAAGAAGATACATACATTTGACTAGTTTGTCCATATTTCGGAATTATTCTCAAACGTTAAGAGAATAATCGATTCCATGATTCCATGATTTGATTTCAAAAACAAAATGAGAAGAGTTCATGGCATAGGTACATCACATTTGATTCGAAGAACGTGTTACCATACATAGACATGCTTTTTTGAAATACGTGCTTAGGGATTCAATATTTAGTGGAAAACAGATAGTCTCAGCTTTAGGGAAGAAAGGCACGATAATGTAAACAAAATCATGAGTATATAATACAATGAAATGAGATTCTCCATTCTTAATGTATAATCGTCAGGAGCCCTCTTACAATGGGCCGTAAGGATACATTTTTCCACTAATGTTCATGGAAACTTTTCTTTATATTCTTATTCGTGAAAGCCGCTGGTTAAGTTTGGCAGACTATTTTCGGGACACCCTGTATAACTGTTACAAAATCAGTTGGATTGATAAGACCCCGTATCACTATGATCAAAGACTCCATCATTCATAGTGGAATAAAGATATTCAATCATTTGCCAAGTCATATAAAAGAAATTCCGTGTAACAAAAAATTGCAGACCAAGGTGAAAATATTGCACGTTCAGACTCCACTATACAACCTCGAGGAATATTTTTCACAGAGACTTTAAAATTATGTATCCCTTTCTTTCTTAAAAGGATCGTTTTTTACAACATATAATCTATAAATATTTGACTGTGGCTTTATAGGAACTCTCACATGTGATAGTTTTATTACAATATTTGATGCACTACCGGGCGGTAAGGTGCACTTTATCGCCCAGATTTGCGGGCGTAAAGTGGCACTTTACCGCCCGCGAGCCCATTATCGTCCACGGACCATAAAGTGCAATTTACCGCCCGCTGTTCTCAAGTCCCTTATATGCACACATCCATTTGTGAAATACCTATATTTGAACTATCAGCTGATTCTATCGTTATGATTATGATACATGTTCATCCGATTCCATTTGTGCTATGAGTTCCTTCTTTGAATAGTGTCTTTCTGGCTGTCTGAAGTTTTTAGTCAAAAGATGACAATTTCAGATTGTTTTTTGGATGTATTGCTAGACAGCAACCATCAGATTGATTGACAACGTCAAATTTAGGGGTATACATATTGTTACATCTCAAGAAATGATTCTATGTTATTGAACAAAGAGTTTTACTCTTACGATAATTGCGATATTCGTACGGTAATTTAAATATGTAGTTTATACACATAAACATTGCGCTTCTCTTGAAAACTGAATTTATGAGTAACATATGAACTGTAGTTTGTTAAAATCTAGTCATAACTTGTGACTCGGAAAATAAACCACTAGTGCATAAAATTTCGTATGTATCACGTGCGACCAACGCCATCGGGCCATTATTCACGCCGCAGGCCATAAACGCCTACTTTACGCCCCTGATACATAAATAACTTATATGTTTTATTATTTTCTACCTTTGTTGTTTTTTTATTTCACATTCTTAACTAAGGCTTTATACGAGCTTTTGATTGTATATTCTCAATTGAATTTCAGAAAGCTTCACATTTTGAATCGCATATTGTTTATTATATTTCATTTAAATATGTATATGTACGAGCTTTGTCAACAAATACGAATGTATTTATGGCAATAAAGCATATTAAACCAATACAAAAAGCTCAAAGTCATTTCCACACAATATTCATAGAATGAACAACAATGGTAGATTTCCAGAGAAAAACAGCTATTTTCCTGGCTAATGCCACGCAGAACATTGGATTACATCCTCCCGAAATTTGTGCATCGACTCGTATAATCGAATACTGATACAAGTGATTCTTTCCTCGATGCCGACTTGATTTTTGTTTGGCTAGGCTTCGCTGATACGGCGGTCTTAGGACTGCTGGCTGGAGACTACACTGCACTGATGAACGTCAAAGAGCTCGAAACCGGTCTGTGGTTGTCTAGCGTGGCCTCGCTAAATCGAAATCAATAGGCATTCAGGAAAGAATCACTTGTATCAGTATTCGTTTATACAAGTCGATGCATAGATTTCGGGAGGATGTAATCCAATTTTCTGCGTGGCATTAGCCAGGAAAGTAGTTGTTTTTCTCCCGAAATCTATATACCATTGCTGTTCATTTCATGCAGATTGTGTGGAAATGACTTTCAGCTTCTTGTATTTATCCAACATTTCATTCCACTTTGAGCATTGTGGTTATTTCCTAGTTGAATAAAGCATAATTATGTGGAATTGAATTGAATTGAATGCATTTTTTTAGTGAATAACCGAACTCAGTCTTTCACCCTCTCCGGCAACTCGAACAACCGGGTGCCAGCGATGGTGGGCAGCACGGGCAACTCGAATTTCTGCCAAGCCGACTTCCTCGTCGTCCCGATGGCGTCCAACGTCGGGCGGGCAGCCACGGGGCCCTCGGCCACTGTGGACAGGATATGTGGCGGCATCCTGGCTGCCGACGTCACTTTGCAGCCAACGACAGTCAGAAGTGAGTTGAGCGTTGAGTTAGGGCCTACTCTATGGTTGAGCCCACTGACATGAACTACTATCAAGACCGCTAGTGATCATATCCGTTATCCCCGATACTAACAAGGCCTGAAGGCTCGTATAGAACAGCTCGTGACGTCAGCTAACTGAGGCAACACAACGCACACGTTCGTTAGGTATGTTCGAGAAGCGGTCGCGTGCCCGAATTCTAATGTTGTTTATTCATCAAAATAATTGGCGGAAAAATAACTGTTTTGTGAAATATTTCGTGTGGTGATAGGCGAAATAACAATGCCTTTCAAGTGTTGTGTTTCCTTTTGTCGAGGGAATTATGTGGGTGGTCCAAAAGTTTATCCTTTCTGTTTCCCGTTGGACAAAAAATTGGGTATATGCAATTCACCGCGAGGATTTTACTCCATCTAAGTACAGTGGAGTATGTGAATTACATTTTACTGAAGATGCTATTATCACCTCATCCACTGCAACTGATTCTAAAACTGGCGAAACTGAAACAATGGATTTGAAAATTCCTAGGCTCAAACGAGATGTTTTTCCTACTCAATTTCCTAACTGTCCATCTTATTTATCGAAAGATGTAAAATTACGCACAAGTCGTGATGAAGAACTCGAGATACTAGAAACTAAAAATTTGGCAAAAGCACTTACCAAAAGTAAAACAATTCGAAAATTACCAAAAATCATTTTGCTACACAGAAAATTAAAGGATTTCTAGTTGGATTAGGGTATTTTCAGTTGCCCGAAATGTGGTTCGAAATTATCGATTTGCATAAAATGATAGATTGGTTAGAAACTTGGAAATCTGCAAATGCTACTAAGAAACTAACAAACCAATCCCATACTGCTTTGATCCACACTATATAGAATGACAGAAGTTATACAATATTGTTTTAACGAACTGAAGATGAATGATGTTTCACTAGGAAAATTTCAAACAGATGATTTGGAACATAGGTTCGGGAAATATCGTCAACTTTCAGGTGGACAATATCACATATCTATTCGACATTCGTATGAATCGGAAAAAAGGCTCAGTATTCAATCACTGCTCACGCTAAAATCTCGTACTCAAGGTAATGTACAAATCAGGCGCTTTCACGAAAATATTGATTTCACCGAAGAAATCCAAGAAAATCATTCTTTCAATCCAGATATCATGGTCGAGGAATCTAATATAAATAAATATAGTGATGACATGCCGGTAATAACCTATTTAGCAGGTTATTGTTGCTATATTATAATTAGAAAAATTCAGTACAAATTTTGGAAACAGAACTTAATTTATAATGATGAATTAATAATAGAAGACAATCACTCTCTCATAAAAAGTATGAGTAGGTAAATTACTCTATCCGCAAGCTCTGATTGTGCAGTTAGTTTTGTATTTGTATATTATATTCAACAAAATCATCTCTGAGTTTGAGGAAATATTCTTGAATGTTCATAACGATCATTTGCCTCGTGGCAATGAATGCAAAATTCATTCCAATGATCAAACTGCAACTATCATATTAACATGTGCTACAAACGCTCTCCTTAAAAATTACTGTCTCAAATCTAACGATCAATCGGGTAAAAAATCCAACAACAGATTTCATGATTTTGCTAGATTAATTTCAATTGGATAGATTGACCAAAAAAGGGCTAAAAATTATTCTCCTGCGGCGAGCTTCCATTTTTAGCCCTAATTTTGCCTTTTTTCAACAAATGTTGACAACATTAATATGGACTTCGCAACAATTCTCGAATAGGGATCCAATAACTTGGAGTGAACAAACCAAAACCCCACACAGTCTTGTTCTATGGAAGAGTTAAGAAAGAAATTCTATGAAAATCTCAGGATCATTTTTCGGTCGGTTCAAATATACTAATAGATTGAATCATATGCGAAGGAACATTCTAGACTCCAAACTTGATGTTTAGCAGTTGATAGCACATTTGCTTCCACTAGCTTGTTTCAAATTGTTCCTCCCACTGGACATATAAGATGGATGATAATTGATTATGGCTGTTAGATTCCCTATGAGACTGTTTGGTACGCTTACATGAAACGTATTCCAATCTTGGTTACCATTAATCACAATGTCGTGAAAGCCTTGACAAATAACTATCTTATTCGAAGCAATTGGAGGAAAAAGTGATGTGGAGACCAAAGAAGTCTCACAAAATCAGACATTTATGCGGGATCACTAAGAAATATTGAAGATCAATGAATGAGTCTTCCCAAGTAGAACTGACATGAATGTTTAGAGGATTGTTACTATACTTTTATGTGCCTTGTGTCTTTTTTCATCTTCTAACACGCAAGATAATTAGTTTTTTTCTGTGACGGGAAAAAAGTTTGGCATTTCATCTCTGTTGGCAGGTTATAAAATGTCACTTTTCATAAATTACTTTTTTCCCGTGGGAAAAAAGTGAGTACTTTTTTCCCGTATATATATCACATATATATACTCTGTTAATAGCTCTTGTTGTGCTATAGTTCCGAAAAATGAGTCAATAATACCGTCTCCGAGAAAGAACTGCAAGTCCTTTTATCTTCCATTCGACTTCGCGGTTTCGTATATTACTAAACAACTACTGAATTCGCAATTTTTTAAAATCAAATCACAGAATTGAACTGACAGAAGTGACATCAGATATTTGATGACTTCAAAAGAATGATAAAGATGCCTATAAAACGCAGGTGTCCCTACTGTTAAAAAATTGAAATTTCACGTCGATAATTTTCAGAATTCGAAATAATGTAATATCTTCTCAATATTGATTGGTGCTTCCTTCTGTCACAGTAAAAAATAGTGTATTATACACGGGAAAAATATTAGATTTTAGCACACGGTTTTTTGTCTCCCTCCGCTACGCGTCGGGAGACAACACAACCTGGAGCTAAAATCTACTACTTTTTTCCCTTGTATAATAAATAACTATTTTTTCAAATGAAAGTGGTTTTTAATTATACTAACCAGGCAGAAGAGGTGTAGTTTCTCTGCCTAGGCAAAGAAAGTCTGTTTGTTGCTATATGCAACGTTCCAAGTAATAGTTTGAATCAAATTTGTAATCAAGATGACAATGACTTTCTGTGAACACGAAATGATGGATATTATTTGGACTCTGCGTTAAATTGAAACGAATTTGAAGAAAAAATTATAATATGTTTCACATTGCCGAAAAGCAGATTCATTGCCTTGGCTAAGAAACGCCAGCCGCGGCATCAAATCTTGTGCTTTTATGCCTAGTAAAACAAATACCTAATCATTTTATCCTATGATATTGGGAATACTCTACTTTGGGTATAATGCTTTCATCAAAAGTCATAATATATCACGGTTTACTATACGATCTATTTCACATCATATAATTTTTCAGCGTGATATGAAATATACAACATGAGTTTGTTGATTTATTTTGGTCCTCTTCGTAATTAGTTCCGCGCCCTGTAGTAATTGTGGGTGATTAATTGAAAATGGGTAATCTCTAACTACAGATTGTGAACACCAAAATGTAGATACTTATAGTTAATCAATATATATGCCTCATGAAAATGTTGCTTATGCTGGTTTGTGAGATACAGGACGTGTTCAAGGGGAAGATTTCATTTCAAAACTTTACGATAACTTCTGTATATAAGTTTTCACAGTATGAACATACAATTTTGTTGTTTCAGATTCTCTGACATGAGAAATACGAATTTGTGATTGCTCATAGAGAGCACTAGTGGCACTTTGATATTTCAGTAAATTACATCATATATTCTTTATCCTTCGAATAACGGTAAAGATAATTTGAAAATATAAAAGCACTCTCAATTGTACAGGGTGGGCCAAATTAGTCACTTTTGATAGGAAAGTCCTAGCGTCGAACTAGATAAAAGAAAACTGATGTCGATGCCTGAGGGTCGATTCTCATGCAAAACGTTTCGGAGTTACAAAGTGTTCTTCATAAATGGGCATTTTTGGAAAGTGGCTACAGATATTTTTTTGACAAAATTGTGTGTTCTCATGGAAATAACTGCAAAGCATTGTGTTTGTGATAACAATTATTCCTGAGGCACTGGAATCGGCCTTCCTATATCTTGTTCAATAATCCTTCTTGAAGGAAAAGGTATATGGTGACTGATTTCAGTGCCTGAGGATCAATTTTCAAGACGAACATAATGCTTTGGAAATGTTTTGATGGAAACGAAGAATTTTTGACAAAAAATGAGTTCCAGCCACTTTTCGAAAATTCATATTCCCGAAAAACACCTTGTAACTCTGTAACGAAGGTAGATATCGATATGCAGTTTTCACCATTGAGTTTTTCATGTGAATTGATCGACAGGCACCAACATAAGTTTTTTTTTCTATGTATAGTTGGAGAATAGGACTTCCCCTCTAAAAATGTCCAATCTGGCCCACCCTGTATATAAAAAATGTATTATTTAAAATTGGAAAGCGAGCGAAGTGTCACTGAAAAAGTTACAGTTATTACTAATGACAATCACTAACAACAACAACAACAAAAACCAAAATTTCTAAGTAAATATTTGACCGAACTCATTGAGAAATTTTAAAATATTTTATTTCTTGAACACCCACCTAATCCTAAACCAGCCCCAGAACCAGCAACACTTTTATAAGCCATGCTGGGTTGAGATTCATTTGTTGTATATCGCTACTTCAAAGTTGGGAACCAACTCCCCAGAAGTCGAAACTTGTGCGGGGTTAGGAAGAGCGGGACCTACAGCTTATAGTGGAATCCGAACCACTTCTAGGGCATCGAGGTGCTGCCAGGATTACAACCATGAATCACACATTTTGATGAAAAATGCTCAGCCGATAGCCTGATTCGAACCGACAGTACCTCTGCATCGTGAACGGCTATCTGTAGCGAATTTCAGCGCATAGACAAACTCGGCCACGGAGCCCCACTCATTCATCATTCATCATATTTTGTTATTCACTATCTGTAGTTCAGAGATCGCCTCTTCTCAATGAATCACCC